GGAGAACAAAGGGGAAGTCGGGAAGCGAGAGAAGCCCTCATCAGGAAAATGCAAAAATCTATGAGGCGAGCACTACCTATATACCTACTTAGACAGCCCATCCTACATAGGCGTCTGTAGGACATGTAGGTTTGTAGACACCAATGTAAGCAAAACAATTAAACAATATAAATGACTGACTCACTGTACCTCGTTAAGTTTTTGAAAGCAAACATGTCCTCGCTGAACAAGCGGTAAGGACCACAAAAAACTCACCATGCGCCCACTGACTTTTCTATAGTCTGCGTTCACCATCGGAGACTGGTGGACTCGGAGATACACATTTTAAAAGGTACAGTACCCTCACGCTTGAATAATGTTGCTGCCGCTACCAACGTCACTGATCTTGCAGGGCCAAACGACTCGGAGAACTCAAACGGCGGATTCCATTGGAGGTAATCCAGAAGCGCCTGGATAACTCTCCCTCCCCACTTCTTTTCAGCGACTCCGCAGCTGCCGACATGAATCCGCCGACACCAGTAGCCGTGGTATTGATATATTACTCACTGGTAGTGTAGTGTAAATGTGATACAATAGTTGCTCACTGCCATAGCTCCCAGTGATATATGAATCTATTACACCTGCAGCTCCCTCTAGTTCCCTGCTCCAAGCGCTATTAGCTGATTCATCTGAGATCTATGGTATGTGACTTGAGATCCATCATAGATGGTCTCGTTTTTGGCATTCTGCGATCTGTGATCTCCGCCCTTACCATTCTCCAGCGTTGCTTCTTTCCCCGCGTTAATATTAAGAACAATCACGCGATATATGTATATTTATAACTGCAAGGGAGCGTCAATAGTAGGTGTATCTACCTCTCCGCTCTCTGGAATCAGGACACCACCAGAGACAAGGGTAGGCACATCACTCCACAGCCTTTGAAACTTGGCTATCAGCAGCACACGCAGTGCAGACTGGCGACACGCGTACGCTGACAGTCCCTCTTGTGCAGGTGCTGAGTTGAGCGTTCGGAGAGTTATGCGCTCCTTCCACCAGGACCCTTGCCATCTCAAAAACACCAGCACTCGTCTCATCTCTTCTAGCAATAACTCCACCTCCTCCGACCACCGGTGTGCGCGGGCACGAGCCTTGCACCATTCCAAGCGGACACCTATCAAAATGTCAGATAAATGTGAGTAAAACATACCATACACTTACAATCCTGTATGCGTTCATTTTCTGTACAGCTGTTATCAGCACGGGAGTCTAACCAAATCCAGGAGATGGTTCCTCTCCCTTGCTGCTCCATGTCACCCATAGGCTTAACATCGGAGTCAAGAAGTGGGCGCATGGTGAGCTCCCAACCGCACTTCTCCAGACGGTGGCCAAGAGACAGCAGGGCACTGCGCGCACGTCTGTACTTCAATACACTGGCGTGCTTCCTCGATTCCACGGCATCAATGATTTTCTTGGCGCGAGTGGAACCCGCTTGACCACGGACATTTTTATCCTTGTACTTGTACATGTGGGATCGAAGCCGGAGGTGGGAACGAACTTCGTTCAGGGCATCGAGGGCCTGCGCGTAGCGTAGCTCCCACTCGTGGCCAGCGAGCGTCAGGTCTACGGGGGTGCCAGCTGGAAGTTGCGAAGGGAGCCACAGGTTGAAGTCTTCAGGTTTGAGTTCCTGTGGCCTCCCACTAGCCTCTGATGATCGATGCCGGAGTTGACAGACAACCGGCATGTATAGCTCCTGGATGCGGGCCCAGGCATCAAGCCGTCGTTGGAGGGAGGCGATTTGAGTTTGTGTTATGGCCTTCTGATTGTCGGTGTCGTGGAGGGACACATTGGCAAGACTGGATCTTAAGCGTGCCCTGTAGAACTGTCAGTATGGCGTAGTGTAACAATGAATACAAAACTTACTGTTGATCCTCGAGATCCATGCCCGATGTAATCAATCCGCTTGGAGAGACATCGGTGTGAAGTGAGACATTGATTCCAGCTTGAAGGTCTTGAGCTTCAAGCTCAGTGAGTTGTAGTCGTACGGATGCCTGTGTAACCGCTACCATTTATTAGAACAACCACTGCAAAAACACCAGGATCACTTACGGTTAAACCGGCTTTCAAAGGGGTTCGGAGAGGAGTTATCCTCCTCCCAGGATTCCACCTCTGCCTTCCACTGCGCGATAAGAGCCGGCTGAATAGTCTTCTCCAGTTCCGAGAGGGCTTCGGAGTGCTCCTTCGTCCACTTTACAGCTTCAATCATCTTCTTATGCAATGTCCGCCCTAAGTCTATGTCAGAATTTGAGACTGAAAGAAAGAAACCGCTCACCTAATGCTGTAATTTTTTTCCAGTTCCAATCACCGAAGTGATCGTCAAGAGTGTCCCGGCGTGCTCCCGGTCCCATTTCCTTGGTACTTGATGCCACTCGGTTTATATTGGACCAGCCCCGTTCAGGGGCTTCGCCGTCTGTTCGGCCCACGTACCTCGACCAGTTGAAAGAGAAATTGGTGCGACACTTATCGATGTGGGCCTGGATGTGGAACTTCGGCACAAAAAATGTATGAGGGAAGATTCGCGGGGGGGAGAAAGTCGTTCCGGCATCGTTTCCATTCGAGTCCAGAGTCTCTTGTGCCACTGGCAGGCGATGTCGTAGGATATGTTGATCATGGACATCGCGAGGATGAAGAGCGCAGAACACATGATATAGTCCATATTAATGTACCTGAGTAACATCAGCCTTAAAACATTCCAAATGCAATATAATACATACCGTTCACCCTTCTGCAGGTCTCCAACTCCGTTTGGGAGCTTCATATCGTGCCTTGCGCAGTCGATCGTCCCAACTCCTGTTGCAGCAAGCCCACGGGAGGACTTGGTATCCGCCATGTTAACTGCATTGTGGCTTACACACGTGCTTCGCTACAGAAAAAGTCTAAGTTGAGAATTATCATTGAAAACATGTTACTTACCTCTTGCTTGTCGGAAGCACGATCTGCAAGGTAAGATTTGTATGAGTCTTCGTGCACAAAATACGCCCATCCAGCATTAAGGCTAGGGTCAGCAGTGTCAGAAGACACCGCCTTGCGCTTCAATCTAAAGTTCGCATCGATTGCAACAAACAGCGCATATTTCCATCTGCTCAGATAACGTGTGAGCTCAGCAAAATCAGGGAAAGACGACCAACATCTTACCTGGTAAATAGAGGCTCCTTCTCCCAGTCTAGTGGAAGATTCTTCCCGGGCTGTGGGCACGCGGGGCAGAGAACAGCTAACTCTCCTTCGGCAGTAGCATTGACACCAGCGGGGTCGTGTCCCCTTCCTCCGCGGGAAAGTTGCTTGAGGTTACGCCATTGGCGTACCATCCGCATGAAAGCGGAATAACGATCCTAGAATATATCATCATCAGACAGTTGCAGGAATAAATTAAAATACTCACCCTGATGCTACTAACCCTGAATTGTCGGTGCGCCTTGCGAGCGACTGGTAGAACTCGTAAGCAGATACCTTGCTTTCAAAGGATAGAATATGAAAATGCTGCAGAACCGTAAAGGTTGCTGCAGTTCGAGGCTCTGAGACTGTGGCTGGATACCACCGCATACGTAACAATTGTTTATACCGAATCTGAGCCGAAGCGCAGCCACAAAAGTCCAGGGCGATTTCATGAATACCATCGAGCGCGATGACCACAAAATCATCACCGGCAGCGGGAGAAGGTTTGTAGCACCTTTCTCCTGGGTTATGGCCTAGTTGTACCCGAACCCCGAGCTGTTTGAGTGTGATACGCTGAAAAAAAGTCCCATTCCATATCTGACAAGGATCAGTCATACGTTGATGCCAAAATAAGTATGAAACACACCTCAATCCTATGCAAAGGATGAAGAACGTGGTTTTGAAGTGTACATTCACGGCAGAATATTTGAATGCCATGGCAGTCACAGCATCGGAATTGAGGCGATACTGCACCACATGAGCAAGTGACACCTTCAGTCCCGCGTCCATTGAGGCGCAGCATTTCGTCCAGGAAGATTTGACGTTGTCCAATCCAGGCGAGCAAAGGTCTGTCCTTAAGTCCAATAAGTTAGCATGCCCAAACGAATATCAAATGAGAACACCCACTGCCGCAGTCTCTTTGCGCTTCTCCGTGGAACAAATATCAACAATGTCGTCTGTAAGTGTTTCGTCCTCAAATTGACAGTCGCTGGGATGCTCAACGCGGTCATCTATCCAAAATATGTTGTCGTTTGATGAATTTTCGGGGGGAATTCCAGCAACATAGTGTGTTTGCAGCCGTGTGCTCCCTTCAGCGGTAATCTCTGCTGCACGAAGTCGTAAAAGATGAGGTTCGGGGTTGATAGAGACGGGGACAAAAACCTCCCGTTCAAGTGCAGGCCTCTTGGGGGGGCGACCACGGGGCATTGTGCACTGTGGTTAATCTGTCAGCTCAGTCGGGTAGTCAGAGGATCCTCCATTTGTAATTGGAGGATCCCGCCAGTATATAATAATGGACAAATTTGTCCCTCCTCACCCACCTCGTGAATCATGGTAACACCATTGAATGATAATGCATCCCACCGGCAACCGTTGAATACTTTTGCGCCCCCGTCGAAGTGAGCCCATTGATAGTGATATCTTGCCACATACCGACATTCAAAACAGACCACAATCCGCCCCCACATGTGTCTCTTCGGAAATTCGTTCATACATAATGCGATATAATCGAACCCCAACCAGAGGGCCGATTTTCACGCCTGTGCAGAAGGACTGGTTGAAAGATCATATACCACAGTATATGCAGTGGCCTCCTACCTCAGATGAGACGATCACATTCGTACAGACCATGCTTATTGATTTCGACCACATGTGGCCTCTTCACCAGAAGTTGTGGCCCGGGTCGAATGTTCACATTTTGCTAACCGACAGCATGCATGCCAAATTACGGCGAGATGCTGATTCTTCGAGGGGTAAGTCAGCTGTGCACGTAATATGCACTATGACTGACCTTGATGCAGAATATCAAGGGCCACATGCTGTGGACAACGCGACGTAATCTGCGTCGCGAGAAGAATCGAACGGGAATTGAGCCGCGGAAATGGTTCTGGTACTGGGGTGTCGGGCAAGCTTAGAAGATTGGTGGATAGTACTAGAGAATCCACTTACCTGCTAGACCATACATGAGAGCTTGAGCGCGATCGATCAGTGATTGATGATCCCCGATTCCGATGTTGATGGAAGCTGTGATGGATTTGCCAAGATTAGTCAGCTGGTGCCACGTGGATTATTACTAATATCTGGCACTTTGCAGTGATCCGCCATTTCCCAAATCCAAGGAAGTCATCCCATCCTCCATTTCTTGGACGTCCGACCCCGCCGGCCTATGGAGTATAAATTCAGAACGTGGTGAGTGATACATTATCTATCTATTCAAGGTACTCACTTAACTCACTCCCATGACTCAGAAACTGCCTTCCTCCAGTCGGACAGATACCATGGTATCTGTCCGACTGGACGGTCTCATCAATCTTCTCCAGTGTCTTTCCCTCGACGATCAAAAGACACTATCTCAGGCCTTAGACATTGGCACGGACACGGGCACCGATGGTGATACATCCAATGGTGAATCCGTTGATTCTTTTATTTTCATTACTCATGTAGCTTCGGCAATGTTACAGATAACTCAACCGCAAATGGGCCTGGCCCTGCCGCTGTCCGCACCGAAGGCTTGGCTGCTCTTCCCGCTTGGCTCTGATGACCCCCCTGCTACAAAAACCTTGACAGTCCCAGGGAAGCTGCCCAGTTGCTCGTTCTCCTGGCGCAGCTGCGCCCATAGTGCTGGCCAAACCAATCCGACTTCTGCCCCGCAACTGCACAGCTGCTGGCTTCTCCCACTGTGGTTGTTCCCTGCAGGGCATGTCACGTCTAGGGCCGATTACCGAGGAAAACGACTCCTCTGATGACGAATATGAGGCGCTGCACTGCTGCACTTAGCGAATGATTCCACATTGATTCATTAACCTTACCGCATACCTACTTCAATGTCCCAGTTGATGCAACCCCACCGCTCTATTATGTGACTCGAGGTCGCTACATCGGCATCTTTTCAGGCTGGTGAGCTGGATTTTCCGAATTTCTCATGTCTAGTAGCTCATTTCTTCGTTGTAGGGATGCAACCGGTCCCAAAGTGCTCGGTGTCTCTCGAGCCATCTACCACAAGGTGGATTCCATCGAGCAAGGGATAAACATCGTGAAGGGTGCAATTGATCGCGGTGATGCTTCGCAGGCCTTGTAGCACATGATTATTTAGTGAATTTTGTGTATGTCCATAGCTGTCGCAAAATGAACGGTTTTTCTTGAATGTCGGTGTGCTTCATCTGATCAAAACATATTGCAAACAAGTATTACATTAATGAGAGCATACAAGCGCCATGCCTATCAAGAACATTAAACTTAAGATATAAACCCTACACTGTAGGCATGATATTCGTAGAGTTCAATTTTGAAGGATGGTAAGAGAATGGTAGGATAAATTCGCATAAAAATCCAAATTAATCTCCTACGTGAAGCCATTCAAAACTCCTACGCATATATTGAGTGCCTCAACTGGCTTACTTTCAACCCACTTTTATGCACATGGCACGACCACGTCTACACAACACTACAGAAGAAAAGGCAGAAGCTGCACGCACTTATAAACGAGCTTACTATGCACGGTACTTCACTCACTTTATTGTTATTTCTCTTAATGATGGTGGACCCACTGATACTACAGTCACCGCGATAAGCTATGTGCGCAAAAAAAGGAGATATACAAGGGGAAGGAAGATAGGTAAGATACATACCAGCCACTTGAATATCTGAACATCTGACTCGAGGTCACCTAAGTTCTAGGCTGTGTGATAGGCCTGTCACTGTAGGAAGGCCACGCTCACACCATACAGCTGAGGAGAAAATTGAAGCTGCACGCCGATCCCGGAAAGCCTATTATGCTCGGTATGTCATTGAAATATCAATGTCTCAAACCATTGAACATTCTATACCTAGTAACCGTGAGGAGATCCGTATCAAATATCAAAACAAATCAAATTCAAAGGTGTACGTTTCTCGCACAACTATAATATTGTCACTTACCTGATCGCCCAGCTTGGACAATACCAGTAGCCTCAAACCGGCGCGCTCAGTACGAGATGCACACAACAAACGCAAAAACAAATGGTATGTTATTTCATTTCGGTAGTAGTTCATACGGCTAAATGATCTCGATCAAGGGCAGGCAATGCGATGACATCGATGCCAGCCTGCAGGTCCTTATTGGGTCATCGTCAAGCACAGCATTGGTTGAGGGCCTTTGTGAGCTCTTCATAGCAAACCCGGATAAGCCAGATTCGTTGGACGTCCTGCGGTCTGCTCACAATGGGTTGGAAGACCTCCTTATGCGTGCGCAAACTGTAGAAAACGATGTTCTTGAGGAATGTGGGACAGGGCAGGACCTCAGTCGGGCACATAGTTCTGTGTCTCATGTGCGCAGGGTTCTGGCTGACTTAGAAGACGTGTTTAGTCATGCCATGTTAGGTGTAGACTCCTTAGTTGAAGCGCATGAACAGCATAGACTACATCATCAACTTACCCAACACAATGTTATTCCTTAGTAGCCCAAAATACAACTAGGTAGTATAGAACTTGATTCAACACCTTTTGAAATCAGAGCACTCGGTGACAATCGGAAAATTCCGAGCTTGGAAAACTGTATTGGCATTACGCATTAACCTTGGCATCAAACAGTGACAACGCGTACGGAACCAAAAAAAAAAGGTATGTTATGACGAAATGGATTTAATTAATTATAGTCATATGTGATGGCATGCTAAATGTAACACGAATAGATGGCGCCGCGTACATGGCTGACGCAGGAGGAACTGGCCTTCATCGCAACTTTTGAGGATGATTACCTCGAATGCCAAAAGAAGGGGAACTATACCACTTTTTGGCAACCCTTCTTCGAACAATGGGAGGAACGATGGCCCGCGAGGGCTTCCTTGTTTCCAGGTATTCCTATGGATCAAGTTCTCACCGCGGCTCAATTAGAGGAGAACGAAAAATTCAAAGCCGCACTTCAGAAGGTCTATTTCTTATTTTTCATGCATGGTATTGGGGACTTACATTGCATCCAGCGCCTGACGGTCAAATTCCGTAATGATTATGGTAATTCAAGCCTGGCCGCAAAGCGGCTGCAGCGGGCAATTCGGCTGTCCACAAACTTCTCAGCAATATCGTTAAGGGACCCACAGCTGGTCGGAAACGTCCTCTCAAGGAAAGCGAAGTCTACGCTAAAAAGTATTATACTACTCGAGTCCAGGCCAGCGTTAAAGATGAGCTAAAAGCCATCAAAGAACAACCTGACGTCCCCGATCCCAAGAAGACGAACCTTCGGGTGATCCGAAAGCATGTTGACCGCTGCTGGGAGAATGAGTCCGTTGAGGTGAAAGAGGAAATCTCTCAACTTACGAGAGAGATGAGGGAAGCAGCGCGCGAGGCGGCGAAGGGGAGGAAATCATCTGAGGTGACCAATGATCTGTAAGTGTTATCTTCATGCCTGTTCCTTTGCTGATTGAAGACAGAATTATACCGAGACTTACAGAAATTCTCTCAACTTTCTTCGGAGAGCTTCATGAGGCCACAGGATGGACATTCAGCGTCCTCCTCGGTGGCCCTGACCCATCAAATGGGGGTGCGATTGATGTCAGCAGCTTACATGTAGGGTCAACAAAACTCGGTAATCGATTTAACCACGCGTTTTCAAAGTTTAACGATAATGTTATGCTGCCCTACTACGAGTTTGTGTCTCATGTTTTCCGTATGTATCCAACTATTTTTTTTTTCAAACATTTCACTGATAATATATAGCTGAAGCTAGGACTTCAAATAAAACACCCGCTCCAGACGATATGCTTACAAACGATGATCCTCCAATGCCTATGCCTGTAGCGCCTGATACATTACATGGTTCAAACCCCACATCCCAAGAGGCAGACTTGGCACCTATCTTGGCACCTATCTTCCCTCCCACGCACTTAGCGCAAGAAGAGGTAGTTCCTGCGCCACCTGAAGAGCACTTCTACGAGAATTTCTTCCAACACCTGCCCCCCGCTCCTCAAGACAATGAGATCGACCAAGAGCTGGATAGGCCCATCATCCCCATGCCAGAGGGCTATGTACCCTTCTGTCCACCACCGCTAGCGCCACTCACTTTGGACCCTATGTCTTCCCCCACCGCATTTCTTAATCTGGATTCAAATCTCGAGAGTTTTGACGATGCCCTCAAATCCATGCAGTCCCAGAACACCACCACGGGATTGGTCTGTTCTCCTCCCCGCCTTCGTTATCAGTTCGACAATTTCATTAGATTCTCGTCACCTAGTACCACGTCGGTCATCACACCTCGCACCACGTCGGTCGGTACACCTAGTACTAGTACCACATCGGTTGGTACCACAGCAGTCACCACACCTCGCACCATGTCGGTTGGTGCCACGTCGGTCATCACACCTCAAACCACATCGGCCACGTCGGTCATCACACCTCGCACCATGTCAGTCGGTACACCTAGTACCACATCAGTTGGTACCATGCCAGTCATCACACCTCGCACCACATCAGTTGGTACAACGTCGGTCATCACACCTCACACCATGTTGGTTGTTACGCCTCAAACCACGTCGGTCATCACACCTCGCACCACGGTGGTTGACATGCCTACCATCACCCATTCACCTGTGGTCAGGTCTTCCACCACACCCGCCATCACACCCTCTCCAGCTGCACCCACAACTACCATACCCATCACCACATCCTCAGTAGCTGCACCCACGACTCCTGTGACACTGGGAACAAGGCCTTCGCAGCTTATTTCTGGGGTGGGACTTGATGCTCAAAACCCCAGCAACGTTGTAGATGAACGTCCGGCAAAGCGCCAGAAACGGGCTCAATGCACACGTGCAGGAGAGACAGATCCGCTACAGGCTGTCTCCTCCGGCCGAGGGAAATGACAAAGATTCCAGTCCACTCGAGCTGCTGCCGCCAATGCGATTGGTTAATTATTAGTTGAACACATCTATAAATAATGTACTTGAAATTTAATTGTCTTGAGCTTAACAGTATCATGGTGGCGCGAGCACCAGTCTCTGACTCACATCAAAAGAAATTTTGATAGAACAGCCCTCCGGGCACTTACATAAACAAGGCAAATTCTGATCTGCGCATGAGACAAGTGTCACTGAGTGTAAATGGCGACCGAGGATTGAAAATATGTAAAATAATCATTTAGAGAGGTCTCATACGACATGGCCGGTAGGCTCAGACAGACACTAAAACTAAGAGTACAGAAAGGTCCTCCTCTAAACCGGACTTGATCAGCGTGTTTGGCATAGAGCGGCTTAGGTTTGCAGTCTCAGCTCAGACTGCAAACCTCACTGGTTGGACAAAGTAAAAATGCTGTGTGGGTGTTGAGTTAGTTTGATATATTCACTGAAAATTGAAATGTACGCAATGGTACAGTAGTGAGCCTGCAATTCACTGTGCGACAGAGGTGCAGAGGCATTTGGAAGGTGTGAGAGGGCGGTGGATGGCGCAATAGCCTAGGCTGGTGGTGAGTGAGAGAGTGGAGGCCGTGGGTGGCTTGGCAACATTACTGGAGGGTGGCAGTACTAGAAGATGCAAAACGGCAGGGTCCAGGCCGTCAGAGTCCTGCCAGTAAGTAACACTGAAAAGCAAATAATACCTGGTCAGAACACTCGAAAGTCAATATATTTACTCACCGAACAGAAAGAGCCAAGAGTCCGAATGAAGATATTGATCTGAGAGCTGGACGGTTAGAGCAGGTAAAAATTTGGAAGATTCATTGAGTGTCGACTGCACCGTGTTTTGGGTACGATTGTAATGCAAGGGAACTCTCCAAGCCACCCGCAAACTGCCGAAGAACTGTACATTAAGTCAGCTGACACAGAAAGAACAAGGAATAACCAACCGCTGAAAATATCAGTACAGCAGGCACAACATAAAAAAATAAGATTTCAATGCGATAAGCATTTTTTTGAAGCAATTTAGTAGGTTGGGCTTTGGCTCGTTTGATCTTGTTTTCAGCTTGGTCCAAATCGCTTTTGATCATGTTTGATAAACTGATTAAAACGTCGGAACAGTACGAAACTTCAACAAGACCAAATACGGGAGAAGCCGTTACACTGCGTTGACAACCGGAGCAAGGTTAAAAGTTGGCAGCGCCGGCCCCTAGTATTTGTAATGCAAGGGAGCTGCCGAAGAACTGTACATACCTCTGCGTGGGTAAATGTGCTAAATAAAACCATGCATAAAAATATATTGGCTAAATAAGGTCGGCTGACACAGAAAGAAGCAAGGAATAACCAACCGCAGAAAATATTGTCAGCTGACAAATATAAAGAATCAAGGAACAACCGAAATAATGGAGGAACAATCAAAAAGAACCCAGAGAACCAGGAACAGGCTGGATGAAAGCATCTTTTTCGGATTCACCAGTGATACAACAGTGATACATCAGCCTGCTACTGCCTGTAAGTACAACAATTAATGTATTACATTTTTGCTACCACTGTAAGCCAGGTAATGTATTAATATCACAGTATAGCCTGTCTCTGCCTCTTCGGCTCGAAATCTGAGTAGGCTGGCCAACATTTCATTTTCCCTCATCATACAATCTGCCAGTGCTTTCTGTGCCTGATAAACATCGCGCTTCGCTCTTACAAGGTTCATGATAAGATTGGCTTCTGAGTTAGTTGGATCCTGTCTCGACTGTTGAAAAGTAAGGTGCTTAAAATTTAAGAAACTTCGATTGACCTCACCATGGAATTGACAGCATTTAAAACTTCATATAGGTCAAAAATTCCGGGCGCCGGCCCTTCGCAAAGATGTGGGTCGAGTATATTTTCATTTGTTGTACCTGATGCGCTAGCTGACAACGATCGCAGATTGATGTTCATGATAGAGTGTAAGAGAGTTGGTAGCGGAAAATGCCGACATCTCAGCAACGCAACTTGCCTCATGCCTCACTGTCCATCGTGCGGAAAACTCCTCAGGGACCATACATCTGTTGCTCGTCATATGAGCCAGCCCCGGTCTGGCTGCAACACCTGGCTGGATGATCTTATCAGGCTCAATACCATCATCCCGCCCGCTAAAGATCATCCCATGGACTCATTAGACGACAATGAACCTATCCCTTCGCATGAACCAGGAGTCGGAGAGGAGGCGAATCCACACGCACGCGATTTTTACGGTGAAGAAGAGGATATTGTACTGGGAGAGCATGATGAAATACAGGACCAGGGCAAAGAAGCAGCAGTAGACTACTTTCCCGATCCACCACTTGCCTATCAGGATGGGTACACGTTCTTGGACCTGTTTGACGCTGATGAAAATAGCGTATATCGCAAGACCAACCTTTATTTTCCATTTAGCAGTCGGAGAGACTGGCAGGTTGCCGCATGGCTACTGCGTTCAGGGCTGAGCATGGGGAAGATTGATTCTTTCCTATCGCTCGACATGGTCAGTGCCCGAACTTCAAACTCACTGCTCTCCATTGACTGTAGGCCATTTTAGATCAAAGATTTGCCCTTCTCATTCCGCTCGGCCAAAGAACTGCGAGGTCGAGTGGAGATGCTGCCCAGCGGTCCACGTTGGATGTCCCAAATAATTCCTACGTCTCATCCTACAAAGTCACCCGTGGTTCTCTATTGGCGTGACCCTCTAGAGTGTATCGCGACCCTCTTCAACCACCCCTTGTTTCATAATCGTATGGACTTCACACCTCGCAAGGTGTATACCACGGCGGAGAAGCAGTGTCGTGTCTATACCGAATGGATGACGGGAAGTGGTGCTTGGAACATGCAGGTGCGTAAGACGTCGATTTTCAATGTCTCCGGCTCACGTATTCTTAAAGTCAGCAATACCAAGTGGCGCGACCCTCCTCGGTACTATCCTATCTTCCGACAAAACGAATATCACCGCATTGACAGGCGATCGTGTAGCTCATCCGCTTCTTATTAGCCTGGCCAATATACATATGAACATGCGACTTAAATCTTCTTCGAGCTCTTTCGTCCTCACCGCCCTACTACCGGTCCTGAAGTTCATTCATAAGAAGAAGCGGATGAAGGGTGTATTGGAGGATCGCCTCATACACCAGTGTTTAGACATAGTTCTAGACCCATTGAAGCAGGCTGCTCGAAAGGGCGTCATGTTATCTGACCCCGCTGGGAAGAGTCGTTACTGCTTCACTGCACTTGCAAGTTATATCGCTGACACTCCGGAAGCCATGATGCTGGCGACTGTTGGTGGAAAGACGTCACCAGTGACCATGGCGATGTACAAACAGTTCGGGGATGACTTCCAGCATGAACCCCGCACGAAATCAACGACTCTTGCACAGCTTGCCGTTGTCCACTCACACGCTGATCCCCTTGACCTCGAGGCTTTCTTCCGTGAAGCGCAGAAGTTCCGTCTGAATGGTGTCGCTGAACCATTCTATCGGGACTGGATACTAGCAGAACCCTCCCATTTCTTCACACCAGAATCCCTACACCACCTTCATAAGCAGTTTTTCGACCACGATGCACAATGGCTCATCTGTGCTGTTGGAGAATCTGAGATCAATTTCCGATTTTCTATCTTACAGCCCATCACTGGTTATCGGCACTTTCCTGGAGGCATCTCGAAGCTTAAACAAGTCACAGGTCACTGCCAACGAGACATCCAGCGATATATCATTGCAGTATGCGCAGACGCAGCACCTCCCCATATCATCATCGCATTACGTTGTCATGCATGGTATGCAGTCCATACCATGACATGTGTGCTATACAAAAGATAAGGAAGGTATAATGAACTGTACTCTACCATATCACCAAGTGATTCTATCATTTTTCATTGATTCATCAGTCTGTTTTTCTGAAGCCTCGTTTCTCGTGTTTCATTTCTCGTATTATACACGGGGATTTCTATGTATTTCTATTTTGTTCTGTGACCTTCCATTTCTTTCTATTTTTCTTGGCTTATTCATCAGACTTTCTCACTAGCTGACTGATCATGTTTGTAATCAGGTCATGTGACTGGGAAATAAGGTGATTTGTAAGGATTCAACCTGACTCATCGTGTTTTGTCACTGATTCGTCATGGTTTGTAAGACTTGCAACTGTATTTATAATCTTCTTAGTAAACAGGATGACTCAGCTCACCAAAAGGCTTGGTTTGTAAGCACAACCTTACCAATCCATGAGATGACTCATGCCTTTGATTTATCATGCTTTGTAAGATACATGTATTATTAGTAAAACAAGCTGACTCAGCACACCAAATGGTAGGATTTGTAAGCACATTCTTACCAATCCATGTGATGAATCATGCTTAGTAATCTGGCCTCCAAAAAGGTATAAAAGGAGCCCATTTTACACCCATGCAAATAGAGCTTCCCACTTTACACATAAGTGCAGGCCATTGGTGCCTTGAAGACATTGAAACTTCCCACTTTAAACCTATCCCACTATTTGGAGAGTGAGATTAAGGCAAGACATAGTCAAAGTGCCGGTGAAGTACGATTTAAGTTAAACTTCCACTCTAAACCTATCCCACTATTTGAGAGTGAGATTAAGGCAAGACATAGTGAGGGTGCAAGTATCATTTCAACAAAGTAACCGCTAGTTATACAATTAACTAGGTTGCTCGCTATTACTATTTTATTGAGCTAAGCTCCACGTATACGTAACGAACACCTCTCTCTTTTACGGCTAGAGAGACACGAAACAGGAGAACACGACAAAGTTGAAACAGACTTTCATAGGTTGAAACACGACCTACTAGGGTGAAACATACCTATCATATTTCTATCCACGACAAATCCACAGTTGCATTTCTATATAGTTTCTTCAAACAAATAGAGGTAACTTGTTTACTCTTTGACCACCCACGAACGACACGTTATCAACCGAGAAGTAACAAAAATCCGTTGACCGTGGACTTGAGGAGCTGGCAACTTTTAGTCTTATGAAAGTGTAGTTGTGATTGTCACTGCATTTTTACACGCTTCTATATAAGACCCTCAAGTAACAAGACATCACTGGAGCCCAACCGCGAGGGTGGCTTTATTTGTTTGGCTTTGCAAAAGAAACTACCGTATTGTCAAGACTTCGAGCAAAATTGATAAAACATCGGATTTTCTTCGAAGCACCAAATCGTTTACTATCATTCATATTGTATAGGTTTTCAACATGACGACGCTCTCCGTGTTGACAATGCCTAACCCGGGTACCAAAGCGGCACCGGCAAAATTCAAAGGGAGCTATTCAGAAGTTAAAGGATTTCTGAAACATTTCGAAAAGTTATGTGACTATCATAATGTAGTCTCTGACTCTGATAAGTGTGAATCTGTCACACAGTTTATGTCACGCCATGTCACAGAATTCGTCGAAGGATTATTGAGCTTCAGGACTCCAGATTGGAGCAAGCTCAAGGCGGACATTTTGAAGTATTATGATGCAGACCTGGACACTAAACGATATAGGAGAAAGGATCTGATTTCTTATGTGAAAATCATGCGCGATAAGCGAATCTCTAGTCTTACGGCTTGGAAGAAGTACGTAAGGGGATTTATCCGCATCGGAGGCTGGCTCCAGCAAGCTAGCAAAATTACAAGCGAAGAATATGCCAGTTACTTCTGGGAGGGAATCAATAAAAAACTCCGGACTAAAATCGAGTCCAGACTTATGGCAAGCGAGCCAGACAGAGATTTAACGCTAGCCTTCCCAGTTGACAAAGTTGCGATCACTGCAGAGAAGCTTTTACATCGAGACAGGTTCGATGCAGATTTACTAGTGTCTGATATCGATTCAGACACAGACAATGAAAAATTGAGTGAGGAATCTTCGGACGAAGACTCAGACACGGAATCAAGCGAATCCGAACAGGAGTTTTTTCGTAAGAGTTCCAAAACTCAAGGAAAGCATACAAAGAAGAAAGAGACTAAGAAAGTAAAGTCTAAAGAAATTAAGAAAGATAAAAGTTCCTATCAAGATCAGAAAGGTATTAATCCTAAGGAAAATAATTCCTTGGAACCTTTAGATGAGATAGAGGGACTTATCAAGCAAATGAGCTCAATCTCACTTGAGGACCCAGACTATGCGTTGCTATACTACAGAGCAACTAGGATGGACCCTACGATTAAAGACTTAGTAGCTGCTCCAGCTAAAAAGCGAGACAACTTTGTCTATTCACAAAACCGGACAACTGCTAGGAACAATGCGACTACAGATGGCAGAACTAGTTCGACCCGAGGGGACTATCAATACCGAGGCAATCCAGGTTCTAGGTTTTATTCTACCCCTGACACACCATTCCAAGAGCGAAAATGCTATGGATGCGGAGAGACAGGGCACAGCATGACCAACTGTCCACAGCTGACAAAGCTTGTGACAGACGGTAAGCTCACCAGAACTGAGAGAGGCAAAGTAGCTAGGCCCGATGGGAGAATAATTAGGAGAATGCCAGAGGAGTCTATTGTCGAGGCGTTCAACAGAGAGAACAAAATGCCTACATCTAACTTCATCAAAATTGATGATCAAAGTCAACAAAATGCACCGTCAGCGCTAAGCGTGAAACGTATGAAATCTACCGCGTATATCGAAGAATGTGACACCGAGTCACAGACGGAGACTGACGAGAGTGAAATGGGAAGGAACACTTACCTCCAAGAGACTAGTGAAGACTCTGAGGATGAGTACCGTGTCTATCCAGTTGAAAGGACTACGCGAAACTCTACTCAAGGAAGAAAAGAGCGCTATGAGAAGGTGTTTCCACCCAAGCAAGGACAGACGCTAAGGAAGGATGAAAACAAGGGAAAGGAAAGCGTACCTAAGAAGACGCCAACTAGGAACCCCATCCAACCTAAAGCTAAGAGCGCTGAACCCACTCCAGTCCCAAAGTATCAACAAGCCCAGCCTATCGTAAAGGAACGAGTCAAAAGTATTGACAAGGACTGGGATAGCGATGACATCATCATGGATGACGTCGAAGAAATGAAAAAGAACGACAAAGTGAAGGAAAACACTTATAAACCGAACTTGAACCCTGATCGGCGAGGTGCGACACGTCAATGTGTCTCGGATATATCGGCTAAAGTAAAGCCAGAGCGAATTCTTGAGACGGTTCTTAAGACACCAATCCGATTGGAGGTAGGAGAACTCCTCGGAACTTCCCGAGAACTTAGTGGTATTCTGGCTAACGCGATTAAGCCAAAGCCATTAGGAAACGATTCGAAAATTGAAGCACACTCCGTGTGGACAAAGACACGTGGTTTATTAATCAAAATAGCCATGCAATGTGATGGCCAGGCCATCAACGCGATTATTGACACCGGTTCACAATTAAATATTGTGAATAAACATATTTGGAAAACCATTATCAACAGACCTATCGACATCGCGAAGTCTATATCTATGAATGACGCGAACGGCGGCGAAGGCAAACTACGCGGACTTGTACAAAACGTGCCACTAAACTGTGGAGGTGTTAGTACACAAGCGAATTTATTTGTTGGAGACCACGTGCCGTTCAGTTTATTATTAGGCCGACCATGGCAGCGTGGTAATTATGTGTCTATTGATGAGAGGAAAGATGGCACATGGTTGCTATTTAAAGATCCGCTAAATTTGGAGGTCAGGTACGAGTTACTGTGTACACCTGATGGAAATGACCCAAATTGGGATTTTGAACTGGCTACATGGATCGGAAACTTGCGAGAATCTAGCATGTTCTATGAGATCATTGAAGAATCACCGGATTTAGACGAAATTAAAATTAGTAATCCATCCCCGGGAAATTTCAATCATATTACTCAGGAAATTGAAAATGTGCTCCAAGCCGAGCATTTGATGCGTCAGAGATTTCTAAGTAACCCTCTGACTTACTCAGACCAATTGAAAATAAATGAAATTCAAAACTCTATAAAAAACGGGCCAGAAATGACTTTACGGCCAATGCCAATCGGCCTCGTGCCTGGGAAAATCAGCGCGAGGCATCCATCATCCATCATTACATCAAACATTAGTCATCACAGCGCACCCACGCAAGTTCGGATTATGCCGGACGACACGTTCAATCAAACTCGCGCTGAATTGGCCGACTTCCTATTCCAGAACCCCGGAAATTTCTGGTTCACTACCACTATTCTAAACGATGCCTTAACGCTTTCGTTCCAGTCATCCCCCTGATCGTCCCTTATCGATCCCACCGAGTCCGTTCCTCCCTCTCCATCCTACTCACCTGTATGGCGGGGTGGGTCTGTCAGTCCTGACAACCCTATTGTAGCGCCGGCAACTGGCTACATCCCTGTTGGCAACCCCAACCCTGGCGCCAACTCTGAGGACTCTGGGCTAGACGCCTTTCTGTCTGAGCCGTCTCTAAGGGACGCATTCTCTAACGGCACTCTATCTATGGGCGACTCAACTAGGGAGGAGGATGAGCTGGAAGATAGTAGCATTGGAGGAGGGAGGACTAGTGAGTTTTCCGCCTCTTTCTCTGCCACCTTTACTCAGACTTCACGCATTCCAATATAGACGCCCTGGGTGGGACTTTGACTCTCCCACCATGCCTATCATTCAGAGGCTTGCACTGGGACCTTGACTCATCCCACCATGCC